CAATGAAACTTAGTACAAAGATGCTCTAGGACAATGTACAAACCTAATTAGTTTGGGGTAAAAATCTGTTCATATTAATTCCCTAATAAGCATAATAATTCATAATTTTTTGGTTCTAATCACATTTCAATTAAACTTGGAGACATATATTTTCTGTTACATTGCGCAGACCTCATTAGTTTTACACTCAAATCTGGTCATATTAATTTTCTGATTTGCATAATTAGTTTTCAGCTAAGTAATTTCGAATTATATTTAATGTGTCTCCAATACTCTCAGCACATGGGAGTTCTTTCTAAGCTTTCTTTGATTTGATATAAAAGTCAAACATATGCTGTGATGACCACCGCACTTTACTGTTTCCATTTGTTATCAATATTTTTTCAATTGTCATTTCTCAGTACCTAGCATGATATTTCTAAAAAATTACAGTATCGATATATCTAACCAGTATTTGCTAACCGAGTCATCAGAATAAAATTTTCTATGAATGAGAAATGAGATAAAATAGTTGTTACTTTATTACCAGAATACACTAATTTGCTAATTTTATTTGTTGTATTTGTAAAAAGGTTGTGAATGCAGTGAAAGAGGAAGGCGTTACCCTGACAACAGTACTAACTACACATCATCATTGGTAAGTGGTCACTTGTTGTTTCTTTTCTCTTTTGTGAGAAAATCTATGTAAAACGCTTCGTGTGTTGTATCTGAATTTTATCTATGTATTTTGAGTATGTGTTACTAAGGATATCTGTGTAGGTGTTTCCCACAGGCTAATAGACCAACTACTCTAGTTCATTATGACATATATCAGTTTTTAGCTCCGCTGTCGACTTTGTCGAGCGGAGCTTATCATATGAGTGATTGTCCGTCGTTGTCGTCCGTCGTCGTCGTCCGCCGTCCGTGTCAATGTTTTACTTTTTTGACTTCTTCTTGAAAACTACAAGCCTGAATGCTTTGATACTTGGTGTATATGTACCTTGGGTAGACCTCTCTCAGATTTGTTCATTTCATGATGATATCTTCAATTCTCTAATTTTGGTGAATATTTTTGTCATTTTTAGTAAAAAGTGATATTTTCGACTTCTTGTTGAAAACCGCAAGTGCAATTGCTTTGATATTACATATATAGGTACTACATGTGGACCTCTCTCAGATTTGTTCATTTTGTAATGATATCTTTAATTCTCTAATTTTGGTGAATATTTTTGTCATTTTTGGTAAAAAGTGATATTTTCGACTTCTTGTTGAAAACCGCAAGTGCAATTGCTTTGATATTACATATATAGGTACTACATGTCGACCTCTCTCAGATTTGTTCATTTTGTAATGATATCTTTCAATTCTCTAATTTTGGTGAATATTTTTGTAATTTTTGGTAAAAAGTGATATTTTCGACTTCTTGTTGAAAACCGCAAGTCCATTGCTTTGATATTACATATATAGGTACTACATGTGGACCTCTCTCAGATTTGTTCATTTTGTAATGATATCTTTAATTCTCTAATTTGGTGAATATTTTTTGTAATT